CCCAGCACCCTGGGATCATGGCCTGAGCCGAAGGCAGACGCTTAACGACTGAGCCACCCAGGTGCCCCAATGCTGTGTTCTTCTTAATGGAATGTCAAATACTGAAAAAGATGTTGTAGAATCTCCTTAGTGGGCCTGTCCAGCATATAATTTAAAGTGCTCTTTTAGTTCAGGTAATTTTCGTATTACAATTTTAATTCTAGTGAAAGATTGCCCCCTAACATATTAAATGTAATCACTGTTAAACTTGGTGTGATTTTTCCATAGCAAACCATACTGTACACATTTTGTGATTTGAGGTTTTCATTTAATATCTCTTTGATATCTTTTCATATCATTAGATTGATTTTTAATGACCATATTGTATTTCACAGTGTGAATGGACTGCTAGTTACCCAGTCAACTCTCTGTTGCTTGACTTGAAGGCTATTTCCATTTTGCATCAGTGGATTTCCTTGTACTTAATTAATTTAGTACTCTTGCAGTGGTCAGTTTTAACCACTAGCGAACAGTGAGAAAAGATCAGGTGCTTTGAAAGAGCCTTTCGAAAGGGTCCAATGGACATCATGAGATCCTAATTCAAGTGGTCTCTATCTTGGGGTAGTCACTTAGTTTCTTGTTATTTTTTGTATTCCTTTAAGTTAAAAGCCTATAGTTTTACTTTTTATGCAGAGTGATGCAGGGACACTAGCTGGAAGGAGGGACTTATGATGTATTGGTAGAGATTATGAATTCTGTATAGATCTGGGGGCGAGTTACTTCAACCTGTCTAGGCTTATTTCCCCATATGTGAAGTGGGGATAGTAACAACCCACTTTGTAAGATTGTTGATGAGGATAATGAAAGCTAATGTGTGTGTGTGTGTATTTATATAGATATATATATGTATATTTATATAAAATGATGGCTAGCATATAGTACCTACTTAGTAAAAGTTACCTTGTTATCGTTATTCTGCGGCATGAAGTAAAGAATCATTTCAAACACATAATTTTAATTGATTTTACAGATAACAGTAGTACACATTTACAGCAGTGGTTCTTAAATGGGGTGGTTTTGCTTCCCAGGGGACATTTGACAATGTCTCGAGACATTTTTCATTGTCAAAAGTGGGGGTGGTTCTACTGGCTTAAATCTCCTATAATGCACAGGACAGCCCCCCACAATAGGAATTATCTTGCCCATAATGTCAAGAGTGCTAAAGTTAAGAAACCCTGATGTAGAATTATTTAAAACCATGAAAAGTACAAGCTTTGAAGAAGGATATGGTATTGAAAATTCCTGACAGCATAAACATTTTATTTGGCCCAGAAATACTAAAAATTGAATTCATTGCCAACTGTAAAAAAAATTACTTGATTTAACATAAAAATTGGGATTTCCTACTTCCCTTGGGGGAAAAATATGTGATGTTGTGAATATACGTGACTGAATCTGAACAGGAGATGCCCTCTGGAAGCACTCTTCAGTTTTATTTCATTTATTTATTATTTTCTTAAGATTTTATTTTATTTTTTATTTTTTTAATTTTTTTTTTAAAGATTTTATTTATTTATCATAAAAATTGGGATTTCCTACTTCCCTTGGGGG